GTATGTAAGGAGGCTTATTTTACATAAGTCTACCCTCTACAATTTGATGGTTTGATGTTAGAATCTGTAAATAAATAGATTTCATTTCCTTCACAGCAGCTGCTGATCAGCTCCAAACTCACACACCAACCTGGACTCCACAACCTGAGGAACAGACACAGAGACACAGCTATGTTGAACTRGGTGCTGTTGTAGTGTTAGTCTTTATTATTAGTACAGTCCTAATTATGTACTTGATCAGAATTAAAATTGAAAACCCTCTTCCATCAGTACAGATGTTGAATATTGCAGAAGAACAACCTCTGGACACAGGATGAATACTCCATGAGCTGCAGACTTTGTTAAACTAAATAATCTTATTTAATCTCTGAGTTTATTCAGATGATGTTCCTCCTCCTGCAGGAGAAAAACAGTGTTTTTTTCCCCTTGGAAATAAGGTTACTCTGTCTATTTATCTCCATTTATTTGAAATGAAATTACWCATGATGTTTCTTTGATCTTGTTGCCCCTTTTCTGAAATAGCTAACATTTATGCTTTTACTCATCAGAACAATTTATCTGTAAATTTGTTGTTGTTTTTTTACATTTTTTGCCAATGATATCAGATTTGTTTTTCTTTTTCAATGTGACTAATTCATAAAATGTGATAAAGTTGTATTACTTGTGACATGGTTCAGAAGGCGAAAGCTTAACAATTGTTTAGATTTAGTCTTAAAAAACACAACATATTAGTCTTTACAAATTACTTTGAGTAATTTGTGTTAACATTTGTGAATTTGTGTAATTTGTGTTACTGTAAAAATGCCCAAAACAAAATATTCTCACTTTGTGGCTTTATTTCTCAGAATTAGCTAACGTGCAATGAACATACACAATACACATGCCCAATATTACAAGCAATAAAGGGGAACACACATGTTCAACTCAAACTTGTCAGCCAGGACGATGAAGATGCATCTTATTTATAAAAACGGACATCATGCAGTCCCAAACTTAGTTAATAGAATAAACTTGTGCAAACGAGTGTTTACATGCACCAGGCTTTTATTCAGAACAGAAGCACTGACATGTGCAGTTGCTAACTCCCCCCGCCAAAATAAATAAATAAATAAATAAATAAATAAATAAATAAATAAATAAAACAGATAAGTGTTTTACTTTCGTCGTGAACGTGAACAAACAGCTTCTGAGCTCAGAATGGACCTGCGACAGGTTTTAATGGTGGAGAAGTTACTACTCCCTGGTTAAGCTACAGGTGACGGACAAACTTTTTAAGCGGCACAGGGTGTGAGGGAATGGGAGGAAATGCTCTGTGCTGCTGTGTGTGCGTGTGTGTAACAGCGCTGCTGTCCCTCCCTCCACTCTGCATTCTAAATGATTGACGGACCACCGACTAACRTTTTCGTCCAGTCTCGTCTCGTCAAGGAAAACTCACTCAYGTTTCGTCAAGTCTTAGTCATCAAAGAGCTGTTTATTTTGTTACCGTCTCGTCATCGTCATTGTTAACGAAAACAACACTGGAGTCAAACATTAATAAGAAGTTCAACATGATCAGGTTGTGATGATGAGCTCTCTAGATTGTATGAAGCTGCTGCCRTTGGTTTATTATGATCACCCTTTGTTTTTTGTTTATGCCAGGCCTAGTGGCCTGGTCTCAACCCCTGGGGCCTGGYCAGGCTCAGCCCAAATGAGCTATATGGCTTTGCCTTCCTGTGGGTCCACCACCTRCAGGARGGGCCRTATGAGTCGGGTGCATGATGCCGTGAACAGTAGCCAAAGGCAGGGACYGTGGTGCTCTGACTCTGGCCTACCAAAGCTGGCTCTTGGGACCTGGAACGTCACCTCTCTGGTGGGGAAGGAGCCTGAGATTGTGCATGAGGTTGAGAGGTACCGGCTAGATATAGTTGGGCTAACCTCAGAGCACAGCGTGGACCCCAAAACTGATCTCCTTGAGAAGGGCTGAGCATTACACTGGAGTTGTCCATAGTGAGAGGAGCAGAGCTGTCAACTGATCACCACCTGGTAGTGAGTTGGATCAGATGGTGGGTGAAGGTGCTGGACAAACCTGGTTGACCAAGAACCCATCAGAAAGATCGTCAATTCACACCTCCGGGAGAACTTCAACCACATCCCAGCCGAGGCGGGGGACATTGAGTCCGAGTGGGCCAGGTTCCATGCTTCAATGTGGCTGCAGGGTTGTTGGTGCTTCTCACGGTGGCCATCCTCGAACTCAGCGGTGGACACGCCGAGTAAGGGAGGCGGTCAAGCTGAAGAAGGAGTCCTATCTGGCCTTGTTGGCTGATAGGACTTCCGGGGCAGCTGAGGATTATTGGCAGGCCAAGTGGGCCGCAGTCTTGTCCATTGCTGAGGATAAAGCTCAGATGTGAGAGRAGTTTTGTGAGGCCTTGSACAAAGACTCTCAATCAGCTCTGAGGAGATTCTGTCAAACCATCTGGCGGCTGAGGCAGGGGAAGCAGCTCTTCACTAACGCTGCTCAGAGAAGATGGGGTGCTGTTGACCTCAACCACTGATGTCGTCGGAGGTGGAGGGAATACTTCTCAAACCTTCTCWATCCCACCGGCACATCTTYTATGGAGGAAGCAGAGTCTGAGCACTTTGGGGCTGGTCTGTCCATAACTGGAGCCGAGGTCTCTGAGGTAGTTAAAAAGCTCCAAGGCGGCAGGGCTCCAGGGGTGGATGAGATCCACCCTGATTTCTTCAAGGTTCTGGATGTTGTGGGGCTGTCCTGGTTGACACACCTTTGCAACATCAGTGGACATCGGGGGCAGTGCCACTGGATTGAAAACTGGGATGGTTGTTCCCCTCTTTATAAAGTGGGACCGGAGGGTGAGCTCCAATTACAGGGGCATCACTCTCCTTAGCCTCCCCAATAAGGTCTTTTCAGGGGCGCTGGAGAAGAGAGTCCGATCGATAGTCGAACCTCAGATTCTGGAGGAACAATACAGGTTCCGTCTTGGCCGTGGGACACTGCACCAACTCTTTACCCTCACTAGGGTCCTCGAGGGGTCATTGGAGTTTGCTAATCCAGTCTACATGGGTTTTGTGTACTTGGAAAGGCATTTGATCAGTTTCAGAGGACTTTTTCACAGATCTCAACTCCTGTTAAGTGAAAAAGGGGTCCTACCTGCAAAT